CCATTGTAAGATCGAAGTGGTTTTTTTTTCTCTCTATTATGTTGATGTTGTAAAGTAATGTGACTTCATATATTTATAATGTATTGATCTGGTAATGACATGCTTTTTGTGGATATCGTTACTTTTATTAGAGCGGGCGAGTTTCTTGCTCGTTCTTTTTATCAGCGACCTGAATTAGTTAGCGAATAAAATGTTGGACCATTCAAAAGTACTTTAAATAAGTTTATTTAAATGAACATATTTTGACTTTGACCAACGGGAAACGTCATCGCATTTTATATCGCATCCTATAGGCTATAGAGGGCTATAATTTGCGCGGGCGAAGTTTGTAGCAACGGGGAAACAGCTAGTTCTTAAAAATTGTAGCGTTCAAAACCCACTTTATAATATGTAGTGACATACCTACTAATTAAATACACCTTATTGTTTATTAAATTTCATAAAGTAAATGACAGTATTGCATAAGCCGATTAAAATTGATCAGTTGCGAATAATTGCAACAGCATTGCGTACTAATCCCTTCCGTATATCGTTTATTTCACACGACACCTTAATCATTGATTTATGCATATTATAGAAATGGAATTATTATTTAAATGATGATTTAATTCCTATAAAATATTATACGTTCACCGTTCAATGTAATTAATTTAATAGGTTCCTTTAAGTTACCTGTGTAAATTTTTGTAATCCGTAATATTTTATTTTTTTATAAATACCATGAAAGTCTTTATATACTTTTAATTTAAACAAAAAAATATCCTAAAATTTTTTATAAGCAATCAGCCAGTTATACAAATTTGACATTCATTAGAGCTTAAAGGCGTCATTAAGCTTTAACGGACGTTTGTGCGACTGACCGAATGTCGTTTTAAACTAATAAAAAATTTAATGGACATTTGGTATGAGAATGATTTTTTTAAAACCACCATTAATTTTCAGGGATATTATAGTTCCATCAAAAGTTACAAAAACTTAAAACAATGTCAAACAAACTATTCAACATTAATAACAGCACATTAACCAACAACACATTTCTAGTTTTCATGAAAATGATAAGAAAAAATAATGAAACACAATCACATTTTAAAGACAAATACGGCAATTATACTACACATTAACGATAAATTGACATTGGAATATAAAAAGACAAATCCAGATATCAAAGAGACAAGTTGAACATTAACCAGAATACACCCCTGATAGGCACCGAATAAATTTAATGGAGTGCGAAGAGCAGAGCACGCGACACTCAAGCGAGATACGCTAAAAGCCTACCAGATAAATACGTCGCCGCAAAAGATTTATCCCCAATACCGTGAATAATGTTCTACAGACGTTTTAGAATTTTGCTTTAAAACCTTACAATGTCGACTTTGTTTTGCGAATTGGTTTTTTGTATGCTAATTGAAACGCTCGATAATAATAAAGTTGAATGCCAATTTTACTGGTATTATTCCATTTCACGATCCGAATTTTATGATAGTTGGACATAAAACTTTGTTGCACACTATGTGATCTCAATATACGATACCATAATATTGTTTTTAATTTCTATGACTTCACGCTCTTATGTTTCAAACTCATCTATTGTACCAATCCAATTTATTCCTTCACCTCAGATACACAAAACTTAAAATAGCTTTTGCTTTTCAATAGAATGTAAATCTTCTAGTTCTCCATACAGAACATTCTTACAAGTTACTTTGATGCATTTAGTATCGTATAACTGTTAATATAAAGTTTCTTACTATCATTATCAGTACCTTTATCTAAGTCTTCATTCGAAGTTTCTGCGTTAACATTCACGTTTATTTCATTCATCGATACATAACTTTTACGGCGTGAATCCGGTCCATCGGCTCGTATTCGTCGGGTAATCTACCATTCGCATGCGCCTAAAGCCAATCTCCATTTTTATGACATCTAGTGTCGGTATACCGATCGTTAGTTGATTGCTATATCAATAAATTAACCAAATCCCGCTCTCCGCTAGCCCCAACTAGCAAGTTTTTCTTTAAAATTTACCTAATCTATTCCACTCAATTTTGGGTCTACATCGCTAAGTGTATAAGCTTTAATTCTGATCGCCGGGTCGTTGTCATCTTTAGCTTCTTTGTCTTTGAGTACTTACGTTGTTTCATAATCGATTCTTTAACGATTTCCGAGAGTTTCCATTCATCATTAATTCTTTTTCCAGTTTAACTACCGTAACTGGTTCGATTTTACGCGCCAGTGGTTTATTGGTTTTATTGTCGATTGATATCCGATAGTTATGTTCTTTTAATAAAGCGCCGGCATTTATTCGAGGTATCGGTTATAAATCGCCTTATTATTATTTTTTTATTAAAGATGCCACTAAACGATTCCATTTTTATTTTTCTGTCTTCGTCTAAATGATTTTAAATCTAATTAATTAGTTTCTATCAAATATGTGATCGTGCATTTCATTTGCATAAACATTTCGTGGGAAATGATGTTGTCTTGTTATAGTTTATAATACCGACTCTAGCCAACGGTATGCGATACATGTGCCGACTAATTTCTGATAATACCCGACTCTATTAGGAAATTTTGGAGTATATTTAACGTGTTTTCAATTATTCCTTAATCATTATTTTGATGATAAAAGTTTCTAACATACTGCTTAGCTCTATTTAGATAAGGCAGAGGTTCTATCAGGCTGTTTTTTTAGGAATATGACTAACTAAATTAAAAAACACTTATCAAAATAAAACTATTGTAAAAGGAAGTTTTTTTTTATTTCTCATTAAAAGTTACCATAATTTCAGTACTCTCTTAATATTAAACTGAATTTTCTCATATAAGACTACCAAATAAGGAACTAGAAGTTGTCTATGGTAGTTGGAGATAAAAAAACAATTTTCTCAAATTTTCTTATTAATATACGAACGTTCCCTTAAAATAATTTTAATATTCCAATTCCGATAAATATTGTTAGACAGTACGATAGCTAAGCTTTTAATCATTTTAAAACGAGCAACATCTTAAAGCAGAAACGCACTAGCGATTTTAAGTCGGCAGACAATTTGGTCACTTTATTTTAGAACGTTCGATCGATGGATTCACTTTAATATAGCTGCGTATTGATTTACCGGCTCAATCAAAATTATCGACCGAATAAAAATCACTACCTACCAAGTTGCTGCTCCTAGTCCCGCCTGCGTAAATCATAAACTATGTATGTCAACCGCGTATGATGGTGAAACGCGTATGAAATTTGCCGTAGGCAAAAGAATTTTTCAAATCAGTCCAGCAGTTTTGAAGCTTATTCCAATACAAACAAATAGTAAAACCTTTCCGCTTTGTAATATTGGAATAGATAAGGGTAAACATAAAATACTTGAAATGAGAACATAAAATTTATTCTAGATTGAAACAACATAATATGACCTCGTTGTATTGTTTTGATATATGTTTATTATAAAAACAAGCGAGTATCAGGTTTAATCCTATATTACCGAAGCTCTCGTGTCTATTTTAAATTTTAACTACATAGTTAAAACTCAGTTTATCTATGCATTTTACAGCAATGTTAAGTATGAACATCCTAATCAAGTTTGCTTTATTACTTTCACCTGCTGATGGAAATTTTAATTAGAATAGAATCATGACATTTTTATGGCACCTACTATACCGTATTTTTGTTAATTTCAATTGACTTTTTCATTCGCAATACTATTTTATTATTAATTCTTAGGTATAATAATAATGTACACATTATCTAAAGACCAGTTGCACAAACACTCATAATGGTTTAATTACGTCTTTAAGCTCTTATCAATGTTTTAAATTTGAAAATTTGGTTTCAAACTAATGACAAGTTTAATGTATGTTTCTATAACGGGCAGTAAAAGTTATATGTAGGTAAAAAATATAAATACTAAATATAAGTATAAAATTCGTTACCAAAACACTTCGGAAAATTTACGAAATATAAATACAATATCGCATTTGCTCATAAGCATTGACTCTAATGTAATAAAGATTATTTCATTAATTAGCCTACTATTTTTAACAGGCAGAATGGCGCCATTTTAATACTAATAATAATTCGAATCAACTTCTGGCGAGTTTATTACCGTATCCGTAACTGTTATGACTCATGTAATTTCAAACTATGTTTTGTCTATACACGTACAGAATGCTTTGCGATTGTTCAAATGAAGTTCACAGTAAAATAAATCTTATTACTGTTCCATTAGTGATTACTCGGAAATTGACTAAGCGTAATAAATATCAGAGGTTGTTTGTAAACTCGAAACGTCAGGTAGTTTAGCAATGAAAGTAGCGAATCAAAATTTTCAGTGTTGATCAAACAGCTTCTATATTTTACAAACAATAAGACATGTCATAATTTTAAATTAGAATTATTTAATTTAACAAGCTTATTAACTCGTTTATTATAGTAGTAAGACAATCAAGTTATTGCAATCAAAATGCAAATTCAAATTTTTATGTATGTTATGTTTGACAGGAAAAACTGCATTTCAAAGTAAATCTTTGCAAAAATGTGGTGTAAATATTACAATTACTTTCTAATTAATGTCCAATTAATTATTAACTAACTATATTAAGGAAGTTCGCTACAAATTCTTCAAATTTCATTAAGTATATGTATTATTTTATTTAGTTTTCTATTAACTGTTACATGGTTTGCTTTAAAATGTGACTGGATTTTTTTATATTTTTGGCATTTAAAAATCAAAAATAAACATTAAGCAAAAACATTATATGTCCTGTCGTTGTTCTGTTAAACATAATTAAATCATTAAATAAGAACAGTAGCGACACCTTTTGATAAACAAAAATATAAAAAAGTAGTGACTTTCACCTCAAAACCTAGAGGTCAGTGCAAATATTTGTTGCCATCAAAAAATATTCCTATATGGATCCGATTAACACCTTCTTACTATGGATAATGCCCGTTATCTCAAAATTTTACGATTCTTTATTTATTTGTTTACTCAATATATAAAATGTTGCAGGTGCTTTGTGGTGCAGTGGCGGGCGCAGGCGAGCTGGTTGGGAACGTGAGCCGCGTGCGTCGCTCGCCCCAACCTTACCATCCGCACCGGGTCATGTCAGTATTACAACTATATTATGATAGTTTCCTCCGTGTTTGATACTTCAGAACCACGAGAAATAATGCAAAATCACCGATATTTTAACATAGCACACCAAGTCGACAAAGAGATTTTAATAAGTTCATGACCTCTGCGTTATTATCTTATGTATATATACAATAACCAACCAATGAAACCAAGGAACAGCCTGCACGCCGCAAACTAAAATAATGTTCCATTAAAAAATTGTACGTTTAGCTAAATTATCTGTACTGCTATTCTTTCTATACAGTCATGGTTTGAAAAAAAGTTAAGATTTTGGTTATAGCTTTAAAGCTTATGCCTAAAATTTTATAAGAAGCAAATATTATAAGAAGCTGGGTACTGTAAATAATCTACCCATAAGTTATTTTAATAAGGTAGGTAATAAGAAATAACTTTTTAAAAACCATAAAAAAACTTTAATTTAATTCAAAATTAACCGTTTCAGGACAGACGAAGAGATGGACGCGACAGTAACGTGGAAGCGTTCGTACTGGCGTGAAATGCAGAACGTCATGAAAACAGAAGGCTACAAGAAGGAATTTGTAGAATGTTGCCCATCTATAGGCGAGATGGTCGCTAAAAAGGGCGGCAGGACCTTCAGCGGGCTCTACGTAGAATTGTATGAAGATGGCGAGAACAAACAGAGACTTTATGAGCTATCATGTGCTCCTGAAGTCGTGGATAAACCGTGTCGCTTCGTGGATGCTCGTCTGTATAACCAATCAAGGTGTGTCCAAATATACTCATACTCCTACGCGTTAGTGCGATACACTACCACCACCGAAATGCCGCACCAAAAGACTAAAGGACATATCTCGGTGCCGGGTTCAGGGGGTTGGTCTATGGACTATGTGAAAGTGCGCGCCGGCTGCGAATGCCAAATCACCTCGAAGAGGAGATCACATAAGAAGAGAATGGAGAGACACAGGCAGAGGAGGAAAAACAGGAAGCTAGAAGAAGACGAAGAGACTTGACCGTGGATCAGTGCTAGTGTTATAACCAGTGGGACATTGAACGAATTACGGGATAGGCACCCTTTTAGTATTTAAGAGTAAGACCGGTCTAGTGTGGAGATATAAATTAATTTATAAATGTGTAATGTCTGGAAAGCTTCGGATGCTTTAAAGCTGCTGACGTATGTATATGCTAGATCGTGCGTGGGTCATCGTAGGTTACCGATGCCAATCGCGTGTTGATATTAGTCGTATGAATTATCGGTTGATGTATTTCAATGTATTATATTTATTTAAGACTTTTTCTTCCTATATTTCTTTATTTAATTATGCTTCTTGTCTTAATCTTGTGTTGTAAGTCATACTTAAAATCAAATCGAAATATGATACAGTGCCTTTTGAAACTTTAGTGCCTTTTTAGTTTTATATATACCTAATGTTGATGTTTCATAACGAAAATATGTTTCTATGCTAAATTATTTTCGATTCATTGTTAAAATTTATTTTTTCAATATCATTTGTATTGTCAATCAGATAATTTTATGTATTATTAAGCGTGAAGGCGTCGTCCTATAACCGTACAAGATAACCTTTTAAGATTTCGTCGTACGACGTTATTTAACAAACAAAACTTTAGAGCCCTAATGGCAGTAAGAGAAGAGCAAGGGGATGGGCCTCGCGGTATTTTTAAGGATCGCACGATCAATCGATTGCACGGTGAAATCGCAATGTTTACACGTTCAATCGTTAGCCAATTAGGATGCCTCCATTTACATTGTTCGATCATTTGGAGAGTTCCCGCTTGTTGTATGGTAACTAACTTATCGACCATTGAAAATGAGGTCTTACACTGCGCGGTGCATCCTATTACGCATGGCTATCACCATGTTTCTCAATAAAACAATCTTAAAATACTTATTTATAAATAGTTACCGTATGTAATGGTGGATACCCATATACTCTTACACTATGTCTTCGTTTCACACTGTGTTTTGTTTATTATTTAAGTTTCTTTCGTCGAGCAAACTGTGATGTCTGAAACGCTCATTTGTAGACTATTTATGTGCTCGGTTTTCGATCAACTCCATAATTATTTAAATTGTACAGTTACTTGGCTATTTTTAAAAAGTGTTATATTATTGTATTGTTATAGATTCTAGTGGCATGAATATTAATAAATTAGCTTGTATGTGATTTTGAAAAAAAAAAACAAATTCGAAAAGGTTTACACTTCGATATGAACTCTAGCAAAATCAAATCATGTACTTCTAAATATTGATACGAAGTGCAAACTCCTGTGGAAATCCATGAGCATACATCAAAAACCAAAAGTTTATTATTCATAAACTAATTGAAATGAGAATAATATTCTTACGTTATTGGCGACGATTGTAACGATTTTATATTTATTTTCAAACATTTGTTTAACAATTCCATGACGATCACATAAGTCTTAAGACGTAAAATGCTCTCTTCTTCAGATTTTTAAATTAAGAATATTTATTCAAAGTTAACAAATTATATATTTTTTTGTTATTATTCTTAACAGTACTTACTTCGTAAGCATAAGTGCATCGAGTCAAAGATCTGTATTATTTTCTATTTTGTAATACTTTTATTGTATTTAAAAAGATAATTATTTTTAAGAGTTCATTCATTTATTTATATACTGTTAATACGAGGTATTCTGATATTCAAAATATGTAGTGTCGCTGACAATCATATGTAATCTGTGGTTTTACTAAATACCTAGCTGAAATGCAAACCAACAGTGCTGTGATTGGCACACATAATACGTCTCTTAATTATTAATATATTTATTTAGTTATAAGAAATCCGTTGCCTTATAATAGTTTTATCAAAAACATAATTTAAATTTTAATAAATATAATCGGGTAATTCATCAAATGCGTATAATAATAAAAGTCACGTAATGAGCTCGACCGGCGCAATGGGCAGCAAAACAGACAACCACACGATAGGTGGCCAAAAATGTATTATCTTATAGTCCTCCGTAGCTTGAAAACTTACAAATTAAACGTTTATAATAATACTTTTACTTCTTATTAAATACTGATTTTTGCTAGGCATTTAATAATCCAACAGATTACAAGTTACAACTACGACATACATGAATATTAATTGTACTTAGAAATCGCTTCCATATAAATTTATTGATGTATATAAATAACTCCATAGTATTGTGGACTGAGATTATTTTGTGCATTTAGACGTATAATAATTAACAAAAACCGAAAATATTTTTATATACGGTAAAAATAGGACTCTAACTTCATTAGTTCACAGCGGAGCAAAATCATAGTAGCGCAATCTAGCGGTGAGTAGGAAAACTCGGTACTCTGTAAGAATGTTGAAGTCCAAAGAAACTAGATGTCGTTAATAGGCGATTATTTTTAACAGTGCCATGATTCTACTTGTTTTTTAGATATGCGCCATAGTTTACTGTTCTGTTGTACATACATTTATTGAAAAACTGTGCTGCCAATAAAATTATAATTTAAATTGTGTGATTGTATAACTTTATAAACAATATTGACGATTTAATTCCAACAGTTCTTATTAATACTAAAATATTATTGTGTCAATTTTGCCCCCATGACATCACAAAAATTATATTTATAATGTTGACATCAAATCAGCCTTAAATAAACTAAAATTCAGAAATAGTAAAAATGTTTTATTGTTATTAAATCACAATCAGTCTTAATATCTAAGCCACTTTGAAGCCATACTCAATTAGTAAGTAATTTACTAAAGTCATTAAATGCATAAATAAAAGTAATAATTAACAGTAATAACTAAATACTGTCGATAAATTTATTTTTATTTGCTCTCTGATATTTTCACACCGCATCACGATCTGAAACAAAATGTCAGTTAGGGCAACAATTCGTTAATGGGATTCTGCGGAACCTAAATTAGGAATTACTCAATAAGGAAATCCATGGAAGAAAAGAGTGAAACTATTTCGTTCTTCACATTTGAATTTAAGGAAAATTTGTTTCAATTTTATTCATTACAACTTTCACTTTTAAAATGCTATAAAAATAATGATCTTGACTTTTTTACGATTCCGAACCACAAAAAGGAAAACAGAACCATAATTATATGATCACTCGGTTTTCTGTCTGTTGACAGACAGGCAAATTAGCTGTGATAGATACTAAGCCGTTTTAGTTGATTTAATACGCATGTGTACACAGATATGCATTAATATCTAAGTACGCCAGTGATCAGATGAGAAGATAATAGTAAAGTTAATTCAAGCCTAAGTTTTTGTACTTAACAACTTACCCAAAAAATATGTTGTTGCGAACATAAGTACGAAGCCGATGGTAACGGATATGAACTGTATTACACCTGCGCTGCGCTTGCGTTCGTGCCACAGCGCCCTCTCACGGGGCAGTACTTCACTTACCGTTACATAAAGAAGAGTTCCGGCGGCTAACGCCTGCAAGAAAATTATAGCAATATATTTATTGAAACGCTAATTGCACCAAAACTTCGTTAAGGTGTTCATTTTTAAGTATAGCTATAGGATTTAAATTATGTTATTATTTATGTTTTATTTATTTAATCAATTCAATATTTACATTTGCTAGATTTTAATCTCTAAATGGCTTTTTATAACAATAACCTTTTGAGTACGCCAAGCCACAACTTTTGCTGCCTTAAGGAGTTCAGCAGTATACAAAATGCTTAAATTACAATACATTCCATAAGCTTTTATACTGATAATAACATTGGAACACATCTATGTAGGTACAGGTCGTGATTTCTACACTTAAACACGAACGCGCTAAAATTATTTTACTTGTTTATTACTTACTTGCATAATAGGTATAGCAAACGAGTCCTTCACTGAATTGACTGCCTCTAATCCTGTGCCTATACCGATCCCGACCACTGACCCGCCACTAAACAGCACCACACACACGATGTGCGCACACACACGCCCCGGAGCGCTCGCACACAACTCCGCACCGAGACAGAAGCCTACTACGAACTTGTGGGACGCTACTGCCGCTAGCAGAAGGAGCACCTGAAATGAGAAACTTATATAAAGAATATTTATTTATTCTTTATTGCCTAACTAAGGACAAATGGCGGACTTAATGCCATAGAGGCATTTTCTCCCAGTCAACCAGTTAGATTGTACAGAACAGTAGTAGGCGTTAAAGATTAAAAACGGTACATAAAATCGTAACTATAAGCATTGGCATATATACATACAATACATATACGCATATATACATAATATTAATATACATACATTATATATACATATACATTATAAGATATAACGAGTACTGAAATGGTGGTGTCTGATTATGAAATGGAAGTAGACAGGAAATAGTGGTTACGAGCTGCAGACTTAAATGCAAGCTTGTTTGGGGCATTACGAACTTCAAATGGCAATGCATTCCATAGTCGGATGGCAGTCAGAGTGAAAGAGCTGGATACGTAGCTGGAATGGTGAGTAGGTGTTTGAAGGATCAGACTACCACTGGAGCGAAGGTTTTTCTGGTGGGAGGCCCCATACATAATAGGAGAATATACATAATATTATAAAGAAGAAAGATTTGATTGTTTCTTTTAAAATACCAATCTTATAAATTCTTTCACCTACAGGAAACTACATCATCTGCGGTGGACATGGGCATCCAGAAAAACATATTTTATCCAGAAAAACATTAAAGGGATAAGTGGAAGTTTGTATAGAGAATTAAAACGTTACCATAGTAACCATTGTTTACTATTCAATTCGTCATGATTATTTGTGATCATATCTGTGTCATGATATGAGACCTTATCCAAACGATTTATTAAATTAAATTCTAAGCCTGGATTAACATATGGACTACTTTTTATGTCACTATGCGAACAATTCACTAGTACACGCAAGCGAAGCCGCTGGCGGAAAGCTAGTAATTAATATTTTAGTAGAAAGCAAAGACTGTATGAAGTATTATTATAAATAGGCAAATATTACCTATGTTACATACTGCACGATTACACGTCAGGTTACTCAATTGATTTTGAATAGAGTTCAAAATCAATTGAGTAACCTGACGTGTAACCTCAAAAAGAGTTTGAGAGTAAAGTTTAAATCAAGTTGAGAAATCATAAGAGTTAAGTTAAAATCAAGTGGAGAAATTAAATACCAAGATAACCTGACTTGCAGCCATGAAATGCAGTGTGTAGGTAGATAAGTAATATCGTCCGTCTAACAAATATTTTAAAACACGTTCACATACGACTGTTTTTTTTTGTATTTTCACAATAAACACTTTTTTATTTTGTTAATAATTAATTACACGTGCTTGAACCAGTTCAAAGATAATTTAATAAGTCAATATACAAGTAAGTTATATATTAGATCCTTACATATGAAATTGGTGTTTGGTATGGGAGAAATAAAAAGTCGAATATTTTTAATATAATATATTTATTTAATTAAAGCATAAACCATTGCTATCAATGCACTTTTGCCATCTCATAGGTAGTTCATTGATCCCCTTACAAAAATACCATTCGGACGGGAATCAATAAAATCTTTGAAGGCGATTTGCACTGACCCATAGGAGTTAATTTTTTCCCTTGCAAGAAGTTATCCAAAATTCGAAAATAATGGTAATCTGTTTGAGCAAGGTCCGGGGAGTACGGTGGATGTCTTAAACATTCCAATTGAAACTTTTCTAAATAATTTGTTATCCGTCTGTTGTGCAGTGTGTGGTCTAGTTTTGTCGTGAAGTAGCAGTGGCGTAGAGCGATTGACCAGCCTTGGTTGTTTAACAGTTAGTTTTTCCAGCATGGTTTGCAATTGCTGACAAACGACGTCTGCCATAATCGTCTGGCCAGATTTGAGGAAACTGTAATGAACGACACCGGCAATTATCCAACAAACGCTTACAAGTAACTTTTTTGGGGTCAATTTTCGCTTGGGGCAGAATTTGGCTGGCATGCCAGGGTCCAACCATTGCAATGAGCGCATCCGATTATCGTAGAGAATCCACTTTTCATCATAGGTGATTCGTTTAAAAACCCTTCATTATTGTGCCGGTTAAGTAATGTAACGCAGCAGTTGAAGCGCGTTTGCCAGTTTGCTTCACTCAATTCGTGAGGAAATTCCAATTTGATTCAAGTGGATCAAAACAGTTTTATCACTAACACCGCAACCTGCAGCTAACTCGGATGTAGTTTGCGACTTCCACAATAGCCTATAGTTCTTGATTATTAACTTGGGTCTCAGGCCGTCCACGGGGCTTGTTCTCCAGGTTGAAATTTCCAGAACGAAAAGTTGGAACCAAAAACGCACTGTGCTTTCTTTTGCGACACAACCGCCATACACATCATTAACCCTTCGAGCCGTTTCCGCAGCACTGGTACCACGGTGGAACTCGTACTCGTAAATAACACGGTATTTCAATTTTCCATTTTTTACTGGGTGCCGTAAAAAGGACGAACTGAAGAAAACAAAATACAAATGAATGCCGCCTATCAAATACATGTGTAAATGGCTGTATAAATTTGAATTTGGAATTCCCAACCAAGGAGGAGAAATTTGTGATTAAAGTGGCCAGTACGACAAAACGCCAGTTTCATATGTAAGGACTTAATATTATTGCCTGCCTATCATCTTCATTCTTGTTCATAATATCCAAGTTTATGAATATTTTACTATTTAGTAAAGTTTGTAACTTTTTTTGTAAGAGGTAATCTTTGGAAATATTGATCATGAAAATTACTTTATCTATGAGTAGCTATGAATGGTATAGCTATAATTTATGCAGGTGAAGTCGCGAGAAAGCGGATAGAATTTCATAATCATAGAATAATTACTATATAATAGTAGGTAATATAAATTCTCAATTGTTCTAATATATAATAGTGAACAAATGTTATCATAACAATGTTATCTCAATAATAGTGTATGATAAAGGTAATACACAGGTAGGACATACAATTTATACTTACAGCAACATAGTAAAGTACTTATATTAATCAAATATTGCGAATATAATTGCAATTCAAAATCGTGCTAATAAAATATAATTAATACCTACTATGGCTACTGTCTGTTAGAAATTCTTATTTTGAGTTTTAAAATCACACCATTATCTTATTATGTATCTAAAAAAGAAAAGTTTTAATTTATTCTCTGATTGTCACGTGACTTAAAACAAAACCAGCCATTGTGTGACGTCACTGTGACGACGGCTGTTAGTCATAAAAATATGCTTAATAATTCAAATATTAAATCAAATTCCTAGAGAGCACGGTCTTACTTTATTTATACTATCATTTTATTTCGTAAACGTCGTTAGATGGCATTTTGTTTTGTGTACATATCACAATGACGTCATGAATATGACGGACAGCGTTTTCGCAGGTATAAAAGAAAGTTAAAATCTTGATTTATGTTTATTTTTTCAAAACATTTGTTTTATGGTTAATCATAAGATTGGTGATCAAAAATTTTCTCGTGCCTCTTGTGCTTCGATAGTCACAGCAAGCCGTGGTTAATTATGCACCTACTTCTCCTCTTTGGGACAAGCTTTCATTCAGCGGCGTATTTAGTGTACCTTGGTGGTGTAGGTCAAACATTGCTATTCCTGAACCCTCTGTAACGGGATCCGGCTAGCATAATGAATAATGTTATACAAATATGAAAAGGCTGAGCAGGCTTGACAAGAATCCTTGGTCTTTTCCCAGCCTGCAACAGGGGGGACTCTGTAGAGAACATTGATTCGTGTTCTTACCGAAATGATTTTTTAAGAAATAACCTTCTAAAAAATTTTAATTTGGAAAGCGAATAATAAAAAGCAAATGATCTAAGATCAAAGACAAAAAGTTTATATGCGGGAACTTAGTACAAAATAAACAGTTACGATAAACCATTACACCCAACCTGTCCTGCAAGGGGTGGGCCGAAAAGTGGGCAAATAACGCTGGATATGAGTTCGAATTCGGGTTCGGATTTTTCCGGAATCGCTCTGCTGGAATATAAATTGGTTTCATAGTTTGAACAAGTCACTTTCTAATTGGAATTCTTTGTATGAATTAAACAGGAAGAAAAAGGCAGCCCTTGTCGTTTTCTTGTCGTTTCTTCTGAATACAAGGTTTCTCGATGATAGCATAGATTTCGCCATTCACAAGTCTTTGTAACAACCTAGAAGAATAAATGATATTGAATCGCATATAATACATTAATGCAATGCAAACATTAATAAAATATACAACATTCCTATCATTATCATCATTATGTTAATACGTGTAAGAAAACTTTATACTCAAAGCCATCAAATAAGCTATTTAACGGTCGGAGGAGTATCAAAGAAACAAATAATGCTTATAATACGGGTGTAGACAATTGTTTATATTTTTATTTTATAGATATACTTGAAATGTATATTAATTTAAAATCTAAAAATAAAATTGATGTTCAAAATTCCCGCTTAAACGCTAACCTCTGTTATGGTGTCGATAACAACAAAAAACATTGTTCAATGTGTAGTTTTTTTTATGTCAATGTCAAAGTCAAATTTGACATGTTCCTGAAAAAGTATTACTTCATAATTAATTTAAATAATACTATTAATTAAAATAAACGTGGTAGTCTAATTTTATCGGAAATAGTATATTAAATACTACCAAAAAAAATGTATTTCTTTTCGTATACAGTCTACACCCGTATTGATTAAAAAAAATACACATACAACAACTTTAACTAATTTAATCACTTGACATTGGCAGAACTGTGGCAAACGCGCAGATAAATCATTAAATAAAAGAATAGAGAGTGGTACCGTTTTGACAATTATGGGGCAGCGATCAGAAAAAAAAAAACAAATTCTTTGTGGTTATAAAGTCTTAAAATTTAAAGATTATTCGCCGAACATGTTTGTTAAATAATAATGATTAATACTTATTTTTAAATCAAATAGGTAAACAAAAAATATAAATTTTCAATATTTGTAGTTTGTCTCACGTCACACGAATATATTTTTTGTGGGAATAAGCATCAGTTTTGATTTATTTAAACCAGTTTTTACAAGTAGTAGATTCCTCCTTTTACTTTTGTATGTATTATACATGACATATCATCACCAGACCAGAATCAAACTGGTTGCCCTTAACTATTTTGAGTTGTTATTCTTTAATTTCTCTTCGGCTTAATTTTCACTTAATTTTTTTTTCTTAAATTACTTCAATACTATTTACCTTGAAAAATAATATAAAAATTAAGTTTATTTGTTTTTTATATTTTACAAAATAAAGGTACTTCGCTATAATTTGTACGAGGATGGTTTGAAAAGTTCTCGGCCCGACCAAAAAAAGGAAGGAAACTAAAAACATGTTTTATTTTTCTACATATTCTCCCCTTGTCTCAATACAATGGGCACTTGACATACGATAAAATAAAGAATCGAGCTGTCAAATGACAATAAATTAGTTTATATATTACCCTCAAATCTCGGTCCGGCCGAGAACTTTTCAATCCACCTTCGTATACCGTTACGCTACCATTAAGGGATCAATGATGTCCATTTCAACCCGTTCATTAAGATCTGCTCCGCAAATCATTTATGATAGACAGATTAACATTAACGGACAGGCAGACAGAAATTTATTATATATTATATTTGTATTATTAAAAAAGAGATATACGAGTGTGCGGAGGTTCCGTTTTTCTTTTTATCACAAATTAAATAAAGTGAACTGGTATTAAAAATCCTTTCATTTATGAGATGTTTATTATAAATAAGTAATAAACAGTTGTCAAAGCACCACAGGCAATAAGTCCTCAATAATCTCTGAGATTTCATTATAATTATTCTATATAATCTTATAGTAGAGGACCCCACGATGCTAAATCTGGATTTAGTCGAGCGTCATAAAGACCTATTGGGTTGCGAAGCTTCGATGATAAAAATAAAAAAAATGTTATTTAAATATATTTATATAACATTAAATTTATATAACATGTGCTGTTGATTGTACTTCATGATAAATATTATTCAGTTTGCAGTAATAGACAGCCGGATGACAAACGTCTGATATTTATTTATAGGCCGTGCTTAGATAAGACGGTTCTTATCGTTTATAAAAATAAAACATTACATAACCCCTGTCCTCAATTTTCCTACATTTTAAATTGTATACGTCCAGTTGCACAAACGTTCATTAAGGTTTGACGACTTGAATCTGCTTTAAGCTCGACTAATGAATTTTCTATATTTGAATATTTGTGTCGGTAAATAATCTTTATATAATTAATGTCAATATTAATGGACACTTGTGCAACGGACAGTACGCTTCTTATATATATATATATATATATATTTTTTTTACTAAAATTAGCTTAAGCCGTTTAGGTTTATAATAGGCAACATTAGAAGCTCATTGTATTGCTTACCATGCATCAAGTTAGGCATAGACGCAGCACATTTGTTGAGCAAATTAGTCTGTCTGTCCAAATTAGTATCAGTCGTCAAATGCATACAAGTCGCCAGAGGTGTCACAGAATTAGTATGTATAATTTTACAGAAATGCTGTATAATTATACATACTAATTCTGGGGAGACCTATGCTAACCATTATTTGCTTATCCTCAGCAGTGGGCGTCGTACGGTTGATGATGATGACACCACGCTTCATATTAAAATTTTGATAATTAAGCTTAAATTATACGACTACGTTTATAATGATGTTGATTAAATACCAGAATGAAGTATTAGAAATTTTTAAAATAAAAAAGCGTGTTCTATGCGTGCGTAAAAGCGTGAACTCTGGATGATGAATTTTAAGGTAGTTAATAAATCCGTTTTTAGTACACTTCTACGTAGTAAGGGGAATGTTCTCTCCAAATTTCAAATGTCTACGACCAGCGGTTTAGGCTGTGCATAGTCTGTTAATTAGTAAGTCAGGCCATCTCCTTTTATATAATATATGTATATAGATAGATTAGCCGAGTGTCGATGCTGTATCATAAAGGTAGAATGGGCCATGACTCACCATGCGTGACCACTGAAAATTGATGGGTATTAACGATTGCAGATACAGCTAGGAGCAACGGCTTAACGTGCCTTCCAAAGCATGGAGGCGTTCGAGCTAATAAATTTTTGGTCACCCATCCTATAGCCGGGCCTTGCGAATGGTCCTTCATTTGCGCATCGCAGACCAATCGCGCTAACCACTGAGCCATCGAGAATCTCATTTCCAATATTATTTTTATTCAATCTTTAGAATGGCGAGGTCATTTAAATGCCAATGTACCGACCTTGATTTAAAAGGGCGCAAATCAATAATAGCAAATTTACTGTCCATATTTTTTCGTGATTCAATACATTTATAGTGTAAATTCTTTCTTATTGGTAAAAAATGATAAACGCGTGTTTTATTTTATTTTTAAAATGGCGAATTATCCAATCGTAGGAGATATGTGTACAAACAATATTTTAGCCTAAATTACTACAGATCAAACATTTGTGACATATTTACTGTTTTCCAATGAGGGTTCCATAAAAACGGACGAAAGTGCTTATCGGTCTCGAGCACGTAAGGTTCCGTACCGGAAATGAGCAGAAAAAGAAATCGTTTGGTAAATGAAAGCCCCCATAAATAATGATTGTATTCTGGTTTTTAGTATTTGTGCTTACTAACTGCGAAAACAGAAATTTATAATCCCTTAAAATGTCAACTGTCTATCACAGTGCGTGAGATACAGATGACAGGCGGACGTACAGACAGCGGAGTCTTAGTAATACGGTCTTGTTTTTTATCCTTGGATTCGAGACCCTAAAACCCTAAGACCCGAAACCCTAAAAAAATGTTACATAAACACAATTAAATATTGAAATAATGAATAACAAAACAATCCGATTAGTTTACTGCTTGTCAAAATTATTTTTTCTAGACTAGATTAATTACGCATAAAACTAAAAGGAGGATATATATACGCGAAAAATGAGTATCGCACCTACCCACAGAGTTGAATAAAAAAGTGAGGATTTCGAAAATATAAATTAACCAAGAAAGAAGTTTCATCATTATATAGTTATTTGGACACCTTTATGTAGCAATGGTCTGAAATCCACGTTGAAAACAGACACAATCGCATATTAAATATATCATAATTAATATTACCAAATTAGATAACAACCTCGTCCTTATCATGAAATTATTATTTATTCAACAAAAACAGAAAAAGGCATTGTTTAAATCACAAGTATTACTTTTTTACCTACTATCCTTTCAGGAAAATCCTATGAATAAGTTCACCGAAAACACTATTTTTCAAAGGATATTAGGATTTGAATAAAATTGGTTTATAACTATAAGAAAACAAACCTTACTTTCTGAAGAACTTTATCAAAATCTATCCCCAATAGATTAAACATCACAATATAAACACATCTCTTTAATGAAATTAAAGCAGCAGTAGCATTTAGTAGCAGTTACTCGCGGCTTTGTCTGGTCATAAGGATTTTTTTGGGTAGAAAGTAGCCTATGCTTTTCTCCATAAATTTTTACCATACCAGAATTTATACCATAACCACGGTTATTTGCGATGTAAAATAATGACAAACTAACAAGCACATTTTCCCATTTATATTATTAGGATTGATAGATTCTATCAATCCTTATAGTACGGATAACAAAATGTAAAAAAATAATACTACAAACCTGAGAAGTATTCTCTTGCAGTCCAATCGCTAATCCCTCCAGAACGCTATGCACAAATAATGCGCACAACATCCCTATAACTCCTGAAGAGCTCTTATTACAAGGGGCTGTGTGACTAACATGGCACATCCTAGGATTGCCCGTGTCGCCACAACAATGCTCTACCATCTCATTGTCCAGTCTTCCACTCCTCTCATGACCTAAAAGACTGGTACCTTCATTACTCCCATACGTCTGCCTGTGAGGATCATTCCCCGGTCCATAGAATAAATGCACAATTTCATCAACCAAGTAAACCAAGAAAAATCCAACGCAGAAAGTCACTTCTGCATAGTTAGGCAAGTTTATACGAGCTTCAGGCAGCATGTGCGTAATGGACGTAGAAAATAGTACGCCACCGCCGAAACAGAGTAGGCAGGATATAAACAGAGGATGTCTTTGTCTAGTCCCTTCTGAGATACAAGCTGGTATCATACCAGCTATGAAACTTCCTAATCCAAGCGTCAGCATGGATATCGCTTTGGCTGTAGTCAATTCCATCATTTTGTTTCACTTATGCACTACAAAAATCGGAAAGAAATCGTTATTTACACACACTTATCGTTATTTTAATAAAAAAAACGTTTATTTTCCACGTGTGATTATTATCGTTATTTATTTATCGTAGCACTTTATCTGTTACATATTTCGCGTCTGGACTGCAACAGTCGTGCCGTGTGAATGAGGTAAAATTATCAGTAAAATATTGTGACAATCGTAATAGCTAAACAAATCCGTTTCATAACACTTATGTCAAATAGTTTAGGTTTCAGTTTGAATGGCAACATTGAAGCGTTTATTTGATGTTTACCATTACAACAAGACCTTGATCCGCCTCATTTTGATTCCATGCCAGGTGTCGATTTGTTTTGGTTACTTAACAAAGAATTGTAATAATATAAAGGAGTAGAACATTGTGTTATCACAAAACCACATAGATGGTTGGCTCGTATCATTTATTTCAATTCGTGTTATAATTTTAAACCAGATATCCGTATTTTGACTCAGAACAAAGGAAGTAGTATTTAGATATAATGAGTAACAATAGCAATTCGACGATTTATATCTACCTACATCGTTGTATGAATTCAGTTTGGACAGAAATATGCTTGTTACCAAAGCAAGCTAAGGAGTTTTTAGAACAGTACTTAGCGCATTCGGTCTGTCTGTGTCACATGAAGTTTTTGATCCCTGCTGCATTAGCAGTTAATACCCATCAAAATCTGAAATAGCAGGGATCGACCCTCGACTGCAAACTTTTATGAGTATTATTACACGAAACGATACACAATAAACCAAACACAGCGTTAGCACTCACCAATCCACACTGAGCCTGTTTTATAAATAAATTATTTTGAAACATGGAGACCTCTTTTGGGGGCTATGTTTGAGGATAAGAAAGAAAATTAAAAAAGAAAAAGTTTATTATGAGGATTTCATATGACCTTTTATTTTCGCCGCCTGATCTCCAAAATAAATGGATTGAAAAATCACAGAAAAGCCTATACGAAGTCTATATATTTTTTTAAATTTAATATATGGAACTCTCTACACTCGAGTCCGACTTGCTGTTGGCTTGTTTATATTTAATGCTAAATCGGAAACAAGTTTACCGAATCATCTACTTAATAGTAACCCTATTAGCTGGTCGCTCTGTTTAGACAGGTGTTGAACTGATGATTAGGTATACAATAGGTACTTCCCACAAATGAATCAACCAGTAAAAACGTATTTCAGTAAAATAAACAACTCATTTATGAATCATTTTCTGCATTGATTATGATAAAAGTTACACATCGTTAAATAACATGAAATATTCATATTTTTTTACATGTGAATTGCAAAACTCTTCTTTAGAAATAAATCTTATTAGAATTCAAAACACCTATACTCGATAACATTATGATATCTAATGTATAACAACACTGCGCAATATTAGCAAATTTATAGAACTCGCTTTTACCAAGCCTACGTGATTTACGTGTGACATTACATTTACGATGCGATAATATAGTATCCGACAGTCCTAACGATAAACTATGGAAAACAATATTTTTTTCTGGTGAATTTGTGAAAACTCCTTTTATGAAATTAAAATGCATGTAATGTCATTCTATTAAGGCAAAGAACATGTTATTAATTAAAGGCACATTATCCTCTTAGCTTCAAATCAAAACTGGCATTGGGAAGTGTCAAACACTAATCGAAAATTATTTTTTGGTGTAAGTACATACCATTTTAACAATAATTATAGCCAGATTGTTAGCTAGATTGATAGCTAAATTGTTAATATATTAACCATGTATAGGGGATGCATCAATACGCACTTAAGTCGATACAATACTGATACAAATATTTATAAAAAAAGTATCGCCGATACCGATACGGTCAACGAAGATTCAAAGAAAGCACAAAAGGTATAAAAAGTCACAACCACTATCAAATGAAAGTTCTTACACCAAAAGCAACAAGAAAGTAGCGATATAGGCTACGTAAGCTGGTTGTGTGACTAAATGTGTTCCTACAATTTCAATTTTTAAAATAGGTGCAGTTCTTTCTTAACCTTTGCAATGCAAACAAAGAAAAATATCAAACTTTTCCTCTTTATAATATTATATGAACTAATTGAATCCAAAACCTTTTTCAATAATTTTATATCAGCAAATGGTCTAATTCTTCTATTAGTTTACCACGACCAAGAAGTTTAGTCTTAATTCTCTAAAATTATTGACTACAACCAAGTAATAGATACTATTTTATTTCATGACATATTTGTGACACAATTTAAAACGTCAACCAAACAGAAACAAAGCGTAACTAAAAAACTGTTAAAATGAATGAACTATTACAACAACATGGTTGTTCGAATGTGTTTACAATACCGGAAGGGCTCAAAGAGCTTATGTGTGATATTACTAGAGAAGTAAGGAAATGTCTAATATACTTAACATTTAAATCTCTTGTAGCTATTTTTCCAGGGTCTGTAATTAAGGAGCTTGATCCAATTATCATGATAGTGAAACAGAAATCTAAGGCAAACTCGCTTTCAAAATCAATAATTAATCATCTGTTCTGTTAGCAGTTCTTACACCTTTTTGTACTGGACCTATATCAACCCGTTCTTTCTCAGTTGCTGATGTTTGAGCTCCAGCAGTTTCTATATCAACTGACTGATGATGATCCAAATTTTTATACCTATTATGTAAGGTCCTGGAGAATGCGACATTGTTCTGATCGTGATAATTAGCAATATTTATCCGCACCGATAGGGGAATGTATTTTAAAATCAGTTTGTAGTTTTGGAATCTAATTAACGCAAAAAAAAACATTATTTTGTTTTTGTAATATTATCCTTAGACCAGTAGGTATTTCATTTGAACGTATTTATTACACCATCTATTTGCTTTTCAATAATCGATTTTATTCTAGGTTTTACGAGAACAACCGGAAAATATATTCGATTTCATATCAAACTATTTATCGGTGCTAATTATTACAAGAGAGCACGGTGTGTTAGCCATGAAGATATTGGAAGATCTTTGCGACTGCAAGGCTACTGTTTCTGAGCATCTGATGCAACTAGGCATCAAGCAAGAACAGGCAGAAGAGCTAGCTCAAGTCATCAAAGAAGAAATTGAAGGATTCGAACCAGTGGATGGAAAAGGTTGGGTCCACATACAACAAAAATTATAAACAGAAATTAATAAGTTTCTTGTGTCCGTTTTTTAATTAGCTAAAAGTCGTTCTGTATGAGTGTTATGTAAAGCACATCAGGGTTATACAAAACTGTTAATTATGGTAGCCTAACGTACAGCCGTGTGTACATATTTTTAACTGCAGCTAAATTAAAGTTCAGTTTATCAATTAAATAATTTTAGAGAAAATTAAAGAAACACAGATAGTGAAGAAGATTTTAAACAGATCTGTGCTGAGTGAAGATTTGACAGCTCGCGTCTGTCAAATTGCAAGAAATGCGTACAGAGACTACTGGTACAGGAAGAAACTGTTAGAAAAGGTAATCATAATATGTGCTTCATCAAAGGTATATTATATACTTTACCTCTTATGTAACAATAAAAGTCTTCATAGTAATACCGAAAGGTAGCTAAAATACACTTGAAACTAATGTTCGAGAAGTTTTGATGACCCCCATGGATAAACAGTCTCCCTACAAAGCCTTCATCATCTGAGTTCAAATGAGTTCATATCATCAAAGCTCGATAGCGTGTTTGATTTATGATGCGGAGGTTAAACAACTTTCGCTAAGAAATAAAAATATTTTTTATACCATTTACTATTTACAATATATTTCTAAAATTCTCTTTCGACAGAGTATGGCTGTGAAACCTGAGGAGCCTTGGGAGATAGCAGCCCAACATACACTTGAACTATATAAAAGAACCAAACCTTCATTCGGAGAATTGACAAGGGCGACAGTGAAAATTCAGGTGTAGTATAATGACCTCTGCAAAAGCCGCTGTTTTATTAAAGTTTTCTTATTGGAAATAAAGATAATGTTTTGTTTGCGTTTGATTTCGTTAAAAAGTACTATCAATAAATAAATACACTACCAAAATAAATGCTTAGTGTTTTCCACAATTAAATTTGTCTTCAATTAACATAAGTTATAATATTAATTAAATTGATTTAGTAAGAACTTTAGTATTAGTAGATATACCTATAATCATGATGATGTATATTAATAAAATTTCAGGCAGCTTATAGAGGATACCACGTGCGTAGGAATTTATTAGGCCACTTAAAACCGAAGCCACAAAAGAAGAGTCCAAAAAGAGATACATTCGGCCCACCTGTGGATATTGCTGCATCCAGGGAAATTGATCTTGGACCTATGACTGTTAGTTATGACAGGAAAATATTTATCATACATAAAAATATATATTATATTGATCTATGTACAGCCAACTTTGTTTTCTAGAGAGAATGAAACTGCGTCTTTGGGATTCATATCACAAACAAACTTTTGATTTATAAAACGATACGTAATTTATTAACTAGTGCATACTCAAAAAAAATACAAAAGCAAAAACTTTGATACTACTTATTCTTGTACAAGAATAACTTTCCAAGTGCTAGTTGAACTCGCACAAGAAGGTTTTCGTATCCTTATCCATTAAAAAAGTAAAACAATAACATTTGTCGTTTGCTATGCATTTTTCGAAATTTTCGAGTTAAATTCAATTTGTCGAGTAATAACTCGTAAAAATAAAACTTAAGTGTGATATTTTTTCTTTACTCCGTTATAATTTATATAATTATAATTGTACTATTGCCGAAACTTTCAATTTTTACCAACGACCGTTAAGTTGGTAAAGGAGGGGGCACTTGACTCTAACGGAAACTTGCTCTTTAAAGCTTAATAAGTCACAAACACCCCCAATGTTTTTGAAAGACCTATCCAATCTTTTCCACAGGATGTTACAATCCGCGAAGACGATGTCAATGCTTTGTTAAATGATTATGCTAGCAAGAAATTGGGTCTCCATTATGATCCGATGAAGACTATCACTCATATAGAAGACACAGATTTACTCTATGAGAATCCTTCAGCACTACCATCGAGCAGAATGCTTGGTCAGGTAAAACTTGCATGAACTCATTAACCAAATAGATAATAAAGTTTTATTGAGAAACTCGAATAAAGACGGAAGTGATTTTTTTTTGTCATAGTCATAATATTTATTACTCTATGTTAGTGCATATGTTCTTACACATACATTATCATCAACATCCTTTTTTTATGGATGCAATCACACATTCCCTATTCCTTTCCTATTCGAAAAAGTTGCAATATCTAGTTGAATGAATAAGTAGAAAATTCTGGATCTCCAAAGATTGAGAAAACCTATACAGCTCACTTCACCTTGTCTTGTCTTTAACAGTGGCAGCGTTGTTATTTTAAAAACTCTTATCATGACCATAATTACACTATTACAATGCCATTAACAATGTCTTTGCGTTCAATATAGTTTATTTATGAGTGAATAAATGTTTTTCTTCTAAATCCCAACAGAGTCAAATGGACGCTATAGGTGAGGACGGGCGCCGATTCCGTAAGCCCAGTCAATTGGAAAGTAATAAAAATTCCAATATTTTTTAATAAGCCAATAATAAAAACTCTAATCGAGACCAATTTTACAATAGGTTTTCAGAATAAAAACAAACCATTTAATCCATGCTCTCCTTAATCTCCATATATTATTATCTATTTGGCATGAATGTATTAATATCTATTTGATATAATAATATAGGGAGAGTAAGTTGGTGCTCTGGCAATGGAGATTTTAAGAGACTAAAGATTACTTTTATCAATTATTAATCAAATTACTTGTCAGTACAACGTTAAAATATTTATATTTTTATTCTCATTTCTTATTTTTGTGATTACCAGATCCTCGTCAAAGTCGTCAGATAAGCAAAGACTCTATCACGCGGGCCGGTATTCCAAGCAGCGCATCTGGATATTCACCAGGACACTCTATTCACAAGATATCTTTTCTTGAGGTTCTAAATTAAACTTATTAATATCAGCATTGCATACCATTATATAATGTCTAAAAAACAAACAGCATCATTATTTTACAGAAGATACTAAAGCTGTAAATGCCATTTATCATAATACATTACAAAACATAAAATGTGTGACTCCGTGGATTAGTATAGGCCTATTGCTGAACTTTGTAGCTTCGGTAAAATTTTGGAAAAGATTGTTTACTGAGCAAATATCTTACGTGGTCCGAAAGTGTATAACAGAGTCTCAGCGTGTTTTTTTCAGGGGCCGTGAGGTTGAATCTAATATGATTACATTCACAAATTTGGCTCTGGCTATGGATAAAAACCACAGAACATAGAGAGAGATTAGAAGTATAATGATATTAATTTAGTATGGGAACCGAGTGTCGCCTCTCCGCACACAAATGCAGATTAGATGAAATGATCATTTTGTTCACTACATGAAAAACCGCCACGCGATAGGTTCGCGATAACATAAATCAAATCCCAAAAAGATACTAAGCTAAGAAATCACACGATTAAAAACAAACTCTAATTCAACGTGATAATAAATAATTTACTTTAACATGAATGTTGAACTGTCACGTGGCTGTATATGGGGATACCAGAAGGAAAAAAATATTTTAAGATTATGCACATTTAAAAAAATTGGGGTCATCATTTTATTTGCGAACTATTAATATTAGATTTTGCTGTAACCAAATGAATACTGAAAAATTAAGGCTTTTCCCTACATAATTTATTAAAATATATTTAAAAAAACGCAGTACAAAAACTAAGAAAACTTAATGATACACTCTATCGTATGTCTGTGGAGTAATATAATTAAGCGAGGGAAAGTGTAAAAAAAACAAAAATTAAGAAAACAACAGAATTTTTGTATTAATTACATTAAGCCTAATTTGTATTTTTTTCTTACTGGTATCATTCCGATTGTGCATATTAGTGATGTGACATATTAGTTGATAAAATAAGAGCTTTAAATTTTGTTATGAAACAGTTCAATGTAATTCAGTTCGACAATTTTCTACAGTGGTTTGATAGTAATTATTTAAAGCTTTATTCAAATAAAACGAAATACATAAAGTTTGCATTACCTGATGTGAGGCATGTTAATATACTTATAAATGTAAATTGTGAAAAAGTTGAGATGGTGGAATCGACAAAGTTCCTTGGTATTTTGGTATATTGATAATTTGTCAAGTAGACTGAGTTCTGCAGCATTTGCTGTTAAGAAAATTAGACTCTTAACAAATGTTGAAACGGCAAGATTGGTATATTTTAGTTATTTTCATAGTGTAATGAATGACGTATAATCTATTGTTATGGGCTTCTGCGGCTAGCATTCAAGATATTTTTATTCTACAAAAGAGAGCTGTCCACGCTATATATAATTTACGGTCTAGATAATCTCTCAGAGAAATATTTAAAGAAATAAATATTTTGACTGTTGCCTCTCAATACATCAATGAAAATATTATGTACGCAAGAAAACATTACGATTCCTTCACAAAAAAAAGTAGAAATAAAAATAAACTTGCCATTCCAAGTGCTTGTAATAGCCTTCTTGAATAAAGATATTTTCATTTCATTTCATAATAACTAATATGATCATTACACTAATAAATTGATCATAGCCATGTTTGTTTTACTTTATTATTCTAAGTTTTATATCTGTAATAATAGTAGTAGCTACATTATTAATTGCAACGACTAGACAATAAGGAATCGCTGGTCAAGTATGAGTTTGAAAGCCGTGACAAAAAAAGTTTGAAGATAGACACAAAAGCGATAAGTACGTACAAACGTCAATCTACATATAAAGTCACATCCGTTTGAGACATGCGTCTATAAACTTATGTGCAAATATGGAGCAACAAAAAAACTGATAAAAGCTGTTCTGTGGGCGGTTCTTTAAAGTGACTTTCTTAACTCGATTTCTATAATAATAGTTTCCGATTATGAATCAGCAGAATAAGGTAAATTAAATTGACGCCTAAAAATTAATTTTGTAAATTAAATTCACACCACCAACAATATTACGTTAGTTAAAAACATAATTTTTTGTTTGTATAGATATTATGTTGTTTTGAAATTCATTTGATAGGTTTAGGTCTAAAACAGATAGGGCAAAATTAATTATGTAAACAAGGCAATCCGTTGTAAAGTTATTAGGGAAACTGAAATATAAGTAATGCAAAATAAGTGAAATCCAGTTTCACCAGTTTCTAACAAGACCTATTAGGCCAACTCTTAGCTTTTCACGAAGTTTCGTTTAATTTATGTATTGTTCATAAAACGGTGATATACTTCGTAACTTAGATATTTATAGCACATCAATAATTTTTAATATTTATCTGCGTGTAAATAATTAACCGAATCTTCGTATTAAAAGTGCCTGGACAGTTCATTATTTCATTTGTTCAGTATCAGTTCATCTATAATTTTCCCTTGTAAACAGTATTTTTTAGTTTTATATAATAATGGCATATATTTATCGATAACGTTGTTATGAAATGATGAAAGAAAAGCTCTAAATAAATATGTTTTAGTTATCGATTACGATCCATATAATTAACAATACGATTCCGAGCAGCAGCAGCCTATCGGTACATTTCAGACAAATGGAGGCACAGCACTATTTTTTGCAAAAGTGCACAAAATGATTAACATTGCTGTTTAGTAATGGGGTTAGAAACATTGATGTTGGTTTGAGCAATCAATGTATATTTTATTTAACATTGTGTCAAATTATTACGTTTTTTATATTTTAGCACTAAAATTGAACTTACCAGTGAAAGGAAATGTTTGCATTAGTTAGATTGTATACTTTGCTTTGCATTTTGCAAGTGATAATAGCACAAAACGGCATTTTTTATAAAAAAAATCTGTAAAATCACCACTCGACGATTGACGAACGACTGGCAAACATAAAACCGAGGAAAGGGCGTCATATGAGTAAAAGCGCATATGCCAGCGACGCGTGCCCCGCCCACTTACTACTTCTATTCTCTCTCTATGTTCTGTGATAAAAACAAACAAAATAACATAGTATACACATTATTCAAAAGCTTTCGACAAAATTAACCATATTTATTACTCAATAAACTTTTAATTAACCATCGGCATTCATGGTACACTCCTCAGATGGATAGAATCTTACATACGTAATCGTCATCAGGATGACTGATTAAAAAGCATATGTTCAAATTTCTTACCAATTCTCTCAGGCATAGTTTAAGGTTAACATTTTGAGCCCTTTGTTATTTACGCAATATATGAACGCCTTAAAAAATTACCTGATAGACAGTTCTTGTGTATGCAGATGACACTAAATTGTACCCTATCATTGAATCCTTTGACGATTGCTTTAAGTTACATCTGATCTTGAAAAATTAAATATATTTATATAAATTTAACATTATCACAATTCCTTATTGTTACACCATAGAGGATAAAATCATCAAGCGTCATTTGAGACTTGGGTGTAGTTATTGATGATAAGCTCATATATTATCAACACCTAGATACAATTACACAAAGAGCCTACAGAAACCTAGGTTTTTTAAATAAAACCATCAAAACCTTAAAATTATGTTAACCTGGTAAAGTCAATTCTTGAATTTGTTAGTAGCGTGTGGAATCCAACTTATCAAACACATATTGATAGAGTGGATAAAATCCACGAAATCTTTATAAAAATGTTGGATTATAAATGTTTTCGATACAACAAACCTTATCTAGATTACTTAGAACATTATAATATGTCAACCTTGGAGACACGGCGTAAGTTGCTATCATCTTTGTCTTTCAACGCAACCAATCGTAGACCATTTCGCCTCTCTCGTCCTGGTGATGCTATGGTTTTCCCTTCTCTTCAGAGCGATTCCATAAGAGTTCGAGCCCGCGTTCGATGTTTCCGCTTAACTTATTTTAGTGTAAGAAATTCTATTAATTCCATTTTTTTTTCTATAAAAATACAAAACAAGGATTGTTTGATTCAATGATTGATTCATACGTGTCTCAGATATTCTATCCTATGTTATTTCGAAATTCACTTCACTTATACCACGTTAATATCCATTCAAAGTTAATTGCATGTCACTTTTGAGTAGAATTCGGGTGCCGAGGTAGGGTCGAATTCGGGTTCGGATTTATGAGGAATCGCTCTGCAGTACACTGTTTTGTATTTTTCACTCGAAATGAGGTTTACATTAGAAATACTCATGTGAACAGAGCTATTGCTGATTAACGGTTATGGACTTCTTATTTGTAAGACTAATTATATTTATAAAAATTGAAATTTAGTGACACTCAATGCACTTCCGATAACGAGTATAATAATAAGTTAAGTTTAATACCTAAAAGTAATACTATATCACTGTTCATCATAAATAACATATTTGAAATATAGGCACCGCCTGAAGTAATACCAGATGTTTTCGAAAATGAAGTCGGATCTAATGACATGAAATCGGTACTAGAAGCACAAGAAGAACCTGAAGTCAAAATAGCTGAAGAAGCTGAAACAGAACCTGCTCAGGAAGTACCAGAAGATTTAGGTATTAATAAAATTTCATAGAAATAGTCTCTTGGAATAATCCTTCAAGATTTTGAAGAAATTTTTTAAAGTTCTTGACCTATACAGATGATTGCAAAACACATAAAATATTGCCTTTTCTTGTTTATGATAATGTTGATAATATAACTGAATATATATTTTCTTAACATTATAGATGAACAGACTGAAGCAACAAGTACCACAGCTTCTGTGCCATCTTCTGCTCCTATTACAGCTGAAAACACAGATGTGGAAGATACTGGTGAAGCTCTGGATACCACTGGTGAAGAAGCTGAAGAATAGATGACGACTTTAACTTGAACTACTTCCAATAAATTGATAAAAAATGTTTTACCACTAACAATAAAAAACACTTATTATATTTGTTCAATTGTGCATTCACAATGCTATATTGGAAAACATTCAACCTCCTTTGGTAGTGGTTTTTATTCTTAATGAAAAATGCTTAAACTATCTGCTTTGTCCCTGGTACTCTAAGATGAGATCCATGGAGACTCATCCATCTCAGAGTACCATGAACAAAGTGGATTTTTTAAGCATTTTTCATTAATAATAGAAAATTTGGTAGTGCCAAAGGAGGTTGTAAAAATTTACCATAGTTACAACAGCTATTTTAAAATAATCACTGAAAATGTATTGTTATAAAGTTTTGATACTTCATTTAATGATGATTCTATGATCAACTATGGCATAGTCGTCGATAGATTTGATAATTTATTAATTTCATAAATAGACTTGACCGAAGTTATTAAATTTTGTGAGAATTTAATAAGCTATCAGTTTTCACAATCATAAATGAGACATGCAAATAAAATCATATACAAAATTATAATAAGGAGTTGACCGACAAACAAGACTTTTGCTACTGTAAATTGCTAATTTCCGTTTGATTATCAAGAAGTTTAACTATTGAAATTAATATTTATTTTCATTCGTATATTTTATTTTTCCTTATTCTTCTGCAATATAATACCTTTTATAAAAACAGAGTAATATCTTTATCAAAAGTTTCTTAGTTCTATAAAAAACTATCCATTTTGCGGATTGATTAACTTATAAAACATATTTTAGTTCTGTTCTGTATCTCAATACTCGTATATTTCTGTCAAACACTTTATTGTTTTATTTGTTCTATATATTTTGTTATCGTAAGACAAATAGTATCTATTTGAGACAATGTTCTTATACTTTACACTGCTTTCTAGCGTTAGTATGCCAAATTTGAAATCCTTTTTCAAACAAACTATTTGTTTTATTTTTACACGTAATGCTTGGTATTCAAAGCCTTCTAGATTTCAACTGTTATATACAATTTTTACTCAGAGGCAAGTAAAAAAAAATATTAAAAATGGAAGATCTATTGCAAAAACAAATACACGACAGTTTTAAGCTTGCATTGCCTGAAGGTTTGAAAGAATTGATGAGCGACATATCAAGAGAAGTAAGTAGAAATACATATTTTGAACCAAAGCTACTTGGTGTTATTACGGACACATGGAAACTCAAACAAAAATTGGACAAAACTGGATACGACTTTAAACTGAACTTAGTAGCTATAATTTTACGATTAGTAGATACCATCAATCTATCAATTGCTAGCGAAAAGGAAATCTATGTCCATCTCCGCTTGCTCATTCAGTCCAATTGTGAAACATTACGGCTCGGGCGAATATAGTGTATACGCCAATTTTAGGTGCTCCGTGCGCAACCGACCAACATTTATGACTTCATAGCGAACTATCTATCTGTGTTGTTAATATCACGGGAACATCTGGCCATTGCTGGACACCTATGTGACTCTGTTTGCGCGACTTCCTGTTGCCAAGAGTTGGAAGATGAATTGCGATACTTGGACTTAGAGGAAGAAAAGGCTGGTCGAGTAAAGGAGTTCATCTTGGAGTATTTTAACGGCGGAAACAGTAGGTCCAAATAAACATTAAACACGTATTTTATAATTTTATAGAACCATGCATTTGATATAGGGACATTGAATTAAAAGGATGTACAAACTAGGGCAGGACAAGGCACACTAAATACGCCTTTTATGATCAGCTTGATCATGTATTATTAAAATATTATGGAAAGGAAACTTTTGAAAATGACGGGCGCGTATTACTAATGAATGTCAACAATGTAAAGATGAAGTTAAAACGATGCAAGAGACACCTATGCTTAAAAATCCGAAAACGAGTTCTATTCTATTTTCGAAAAGCTAACACGTTGAAATGAATTTTTAGATAATTTATAATGCAACGGAGGTAGGACCTGACTGTACCTCTGATGCACAGATATGATTTTAACAAAATTATGAGAACGTTTCGATATTTTATGAAAGAAATACAAAGAAATACATTTTTAGATAATTTATGATGCAACACAGGTAGTAACTGATACTGCTAATACACAGATAATCTTCGCAATCATTTTCGTTCAAATGCAAATTGAATAGTTCCTCAGGTGTCATATTTATTCATACGAGTTATATATTTAAAGCCTTAAACCAAACTTAGTTTTACAAGAACGAAGACTTCTATGTAGAGAAAACCTCTTTTCGAATGGTCTTTGTTATCTTCCGTTAACGTTAGTAAGCTATTTATTTATTGATTTTATCTTACATCCAGCATGCAAGAAAGGTTTCGCGTTTAATTTGCTTAACGAAATCAGTGTAAATGAAGAACAGATGGACGCTATAAAGCAGGCCGTCAACAAGGCTTTCAAACGAAGTTTGATCAACAACACCGTTTATTACCAGGTACTTGTGTTGGTTATATCACAGATATAATATATTATAATTCTAGTTAGACAGAACCTCTTCACTAACACCATTTAGATGACGGTAGTAGCGTCAATCATAAACAGTATGGTCTGATTTGAGATTGATATAAATTTAATCTACGAGAGCTTGTCTATCGCTTTATTCCGTCTTTATTACTTTTTCATTTCTTTTTTCTTATAGTTGCTAAATCACGTATTTCAATTTTAGAAAACGATTAAGTGTGAGTATATAGATAAAACCTTTTTACGTTACCTAAGACGTTAACCGCTGATTAGTTTTCATGATGATTTGTGGGACATGGATTATATTATTTGAGAGTTGACTTGAGTGCTACCAATTTCAATAACGACTTCTGACTCTGTAATTTCAGTCGTCATCGGATAGTGATCAGGATGAAGTTGGTTTAGCGACCAAAAATACCTTGAAAATATATCGAAAAACAAGAGTTTCGCCTGAGCAATATAAGCGCACTACCAACAATGTGAAGGTTTAACTATTTGCTATCTTATCAACTAAATATTTTTTTTTTTGCATATTATGCTCATTAAAAGCATTTTTTTAATACAATAGCAAAATCTTTCATTCTTTCTTCGAATATTTATGGGGAAACGACCTTTTCCGTAAGGTTTGATTTATAAATTGTAAGTTTGCGATAAAAGCAATACTAGAATTATTTTTCCTTTACAGGCAGCTTACAGAGCTTATGGTGTAACTCGTTATGACTATGCAAAAGAAGAACACTCAGAACTGAAGATGAATAAGCCACCAAAAAGAAATCTTCGCTTTGAGACCAATGTCAGTGGACTTTTAATATTTAATCTACACCTCTAACTCTTTATTTATAACTATGATACGACGATAGCATCATCGATCAAAACCAGTCAAATTGTATTGTACCTTTTTTTAAAAACACGGGAAATGCATCTTAAGCTTTAAACCAGGTACTGTCCATGTCCTGAAAAGGACAGATACGACATCTTATCGATGTTAAGGCGATATTTAGTTTCATTTTAATACATCAACAACTCCAGTATCTATAGCTTGGAATTTATGTAAACTGCAGCTTAACTTCTATTATATTCAACAGCCATCGACGATACTATCATAACAGCCGTACGACGCTTACTGCTGGGTATATGCCTGCCCCTATAGATCTCCACGATGATCGGTCCTGCGCTGCCCGCATCCAGCGGCTTCCTGCAACGATACTAACCACCATACTAATTTTGCCTGTAATCCGCTATGACACCTAATAATTTAATAATTGTGGCATCTCAAAATCGCCAAGAATACCCATAGAATCAAATGAGACAGCACTTTTAGCACTATATGATGAAACGTCACAGCTTTACTTGTATCGACTTTTTACAGATGGCGCTAATTCATATTTTAATAACTTTAAGGTAGGCGAAGTCGAATTTGATAACAAATATTTTTGTTTAGTTACAGAATGAAGGTACCGATAGTGAAGTAAACAAAAGTAAGTACTTTGTTTAAAAAAGACGATTTATTCTATGTACAAAACTAAACAAGTAGAAGAACATGAAAAAATATGTTTAATTTTATATGCAATAAACATTTTTTTGTGGGTAAAAGTAATAACAGGATACTCTATTCTAAGAAGATACTCTCTTCCTTTTTGAAGATAATCCTCCTCAAGATTTAAGATATTAGAATGGAATAACCCATTCTCAAAGTTTAAGTTAATGTTACGCGAGGAAAATATACCTATGCTTTTAGCAGGATTTTGTGCAATATTTTCTCTATACCCCTTACAGAACTATCAACCGTATCATCCAGTACTCTAGCTGGTTCATACATCATTTTACCAAAACACGTCCCGTATTCAGTGCATGATAATTTTCTACAAATAGTAGCAGAAACAACAGAAAGAGAGAACGTTCTAATCAACTACATAGATGAATATGAAGAAAATAATAAAGAGTCTATCGAAGAAATCGTGGAATACGAAGCTAAAAATACAAAGGTGAATGAAGAATACAAGGTAGAACAGGACTTTGAGGTAGATGATCAGGAAATCGCTGATATTGATTCAGAAAGTTCTATCAATGAGGAATTAGTTTGTGATTTTTCTGATGATGATAATAAAGAATTTTAAAATAACTAAAAAATTTCACTTGCAAAAAATGCTTACAAAATCCACTTTATCCCTGGCACTCTGAGATGGACTTTGAGGTGAGTAAGCATTTTTCATTAAGAATATTTTTCAGTATTGTAAATGCAAAATTGATAAAATATAATACTTTATTTTGTCTTAGAATTGCTTTTAATTCTTTTTTAAATTATAAAGGCTGTTAAGGAGGAATGGGCGTATTATTTAATAATTATTATGAACATATTACATTATTGATCACTTTAAAATTGGAGGTCTAATGGCTGGCAGAGCCCTGATTTGAGACATAAACAACGTTTCACCTACACAAAATAGACCAAACAAAAAAAGGATTGGACAAGTCGAAGCGGATTGGTCCGCTGACAGTTAATCTGACAACCTGACTTAATTTTTATTAGTCTCGTTTAATTTTGACAGATAAATCAGCTTTAGTCAGCGCCGCAGGTCTATTACGTAACTATATTAATTGATACCAATTTTATGCAATTTTGACGCTCTTAGCAATTTTCTTTGACGAATCTCATACGTCAAGCAAAATGATAAGAGTATATAGAAAATTTAATATAACGCATAATAATATCAAAATATTAATGTTTACTTATAAAATAATGTGCAGTGGTTTCTGTTTACGGCTAAGTAGTAGACTTTGGCGGCATAATATATTTTTTAAACATCTCTCTGCAAACAATCATACATCACTTTTATATAATAAATTTATTATTCAAATACAGATCTAATAATTATAAATTCACTACAGCAACGTAGATGATTTTTTTGGTCATATTTATTTTATTTCATTTTATATAATACATACTTAAGCTAAGTCATGTTGTAACTTAAAAACTAAATACGTGTGGGATAAAACAGTGCTAATTATGTATTAAATGCTTTCCTTTCTTTATAATTATGATTATTAAAATGATTTATGATTATTTATGATAACTGCATTGAATCTTGTGTACTTAGGTATAACAACAAATTTCGATATACAAATATTAAATGAGAACCGCTAAAGAGGGTCATCTTAATAAGCAAACGTCCTAAGTCAATTTTCCATATTTTTTAAATGTCAATTGGAAATGAAATGTGTCATGTCAATTGGAAATGAAATTTAGAATAAACTTTATTGTCTATTTACATAATGAGGCCGCGGTGAGCAAATTAAAAAACATTTTTGATGAAAATAACATATGTAAGATGTTTATTAGTGGACTGTGTATTACACAGTCGGAGTTATAGTAAAATTCCCGCGCTCGAGGCGGTAAACGGGCCCGCGTATTTTTAATACACATCTATATTCCATTTCTTTTCATTTCATTTCATATCAATGCTTATCTTAACAATGGACTGTGGTTGTTTTAACGCTATTTGACTGGTGAATCCCTGCCAATATTGTAAATGCGAAATTAACTATGTCTATTGACGCTGGGTCCTTTATGATGTAAATTATTTTGAGATAATTTAAGAGCAGAGTTTTATATATTGAAACATAACTAAGATACACTGATACTATGCGGACAAAAGAATTCCATCCGTCTATTGCTTCTTTTTATTATCAATGATCAATGTGACTAAATGAATTGGGATCGTTGATCCAAATTAATACATGAATATAAATATTTTTTAAGATTTGGTTAAGTGTTATCAGATTTTTACGGAACTTAGGAAATGTAAGAAAATTAAAGTAAAATCTTCAAAATAATGTTTTGTTTTCAAAACATAAAATGAGATCTCATAGCAATAGGTTAAGTAGTAAATTAATAAAAAATATTTTTGATATTTGCAAGTTAAGTAGCAATAATGTTACTACTATCATTAACAATATTCAATTGAATGCGAAACTACTTAACAAAAATGTATATTAATCTTTTTATGAATATTTGAATAAATCAAAAACAAATCTACCTACTCCGATCCCTGTTTATTTTAAAGCAGTTTTAGGTAATTATATTGTTGCTTTAATTGTGCTTAAACATTTGAAATCTATATTTTTGGCATTAAATATTTGTCAAATAATTAAAATAAATTAAACACACCTTTGCCCTTATAAACGGGAATGACATAAGATTTCATAACTTTCAATTTTAAAGTTGTTTATGAGTTTCTTTTATTTTAAAAATTTAAAACAAATGGAATTCGTAAAAAACCTACATAAATATAAATAGTTAACGAATAGCAAATGTCTAAATGTTACATATATTACAAAAAAAAATGTGTTTTTAAAAGTGGCTTAATTTGCTTATTAAAATGACGTTAAGACACCCTTCAATTATGATTAAATATAAAATAACACTTTTTTAAATAAATATATAAATAATATAACTTTTATTAAAAACAAAATTAGAGTGTTTTTCGATAATTATATAGAATTAGCGATAGCAATATACGTAAGGAACTAAACACATCTATTATTTTAACATAAGATTAAGTTAGTAGAAATCACAGCAGATCCCAATTATTTAATATGTGAATACTTTATTTATATGAAGCACAATAAATGAATTTCATAATTAAAGTTTAAAAAGAGCAAGCTTAACTTTTATAACTTCAATTTTGAGCTACTAGTGTATACATTTATTTAAATATAAAAGTCAATAATTGCACCACCCCTACCATAAATAGATTATTATATCATACGATATCTTTTCGACTATATCCTTTAGATTACAATCTCTGAAAATAAGAAGGAAAAAGTTATAAACCATCACTGTTGCAAGTTAACATTGATGATTGTAAATCAGATTAAATGTTTGAAAATTTCATTCATTTTTAATTAATTAATGAGTCGGCTAAATCTAAACTTGAACCTAATTAGTAGACTATACATATAGTTATTACAAACTATTTAACTTCACGTGGTTTCTTCTTAAATATATAGTGAATAATAAACTAAATAATATCTTAAAACATATTTTTAAAGACTAGTCGAAGAATTAAAATAACATATGAATTGTTCAGAAACATCCAAAATATCTATATACAGACGTACAGTATACCTATGTAAAATAAAAACAATATTATAGAACCAAATAATAAAATATACAATGTCAGTGACATAATATGTCAAAATAATCAAAACTTTAAAATAAATCCAAAGAATATAAAAATAAAATATACTTTTTGAGCGAAACAATTTTAGAGATCTAGTAAAATTATGCTTTGGTATTCTCCAAATAGGTTTCGATAGTATACATTCTCTTTCCTTATAAGTATTAAAAATACACAAAAAAAGTACCAGGGTTGATTTTTTATAGCAACACTGACGTTACGTTTATGTTAATATGATTCTAAAGCATCAACAGTTCACTTGCTACTCAAGTAACAGACAGAAAATGGACATTAGCATATCAAATTGTTTGAAATATAATTAACAGCAAAATCGACCCTCTTATTGCTTAATTAGATTATATGCTTACACCGTTGACGAAAAACTACAAAGTTCATTACGTTTTTAGAAACCTTTACTCAAATTGTTTATATTTTAAGTGTTACTTTTCTTTTTTAAAAAAGAAAGAAACTGAGGATAAGTCACTTTAGATTGGTGGATATCAAATAACGAGAACTGTTAGATAGTATCTACACCTCCACCCATCAGCTTATTGCCGTATTCGCTCAGCAACTGTAAAACGAAATTTATAATTAAAAAATTACAATTTGCTCTAAAAAATAACAAGATCTAATCGGGTTCATATCAAGTATAATATCAAATAGTAGGTACAAGAGTTTGTGACCAAAATGTGCTAGAGTAAGGGCCGGTTACAGGATTGGTGAAGAAAAATTTACTATAACGAGCTCCTCCGTGCTTCGGAAAGCACATAAGGCTAAGGTTGATCCCAGCTATACCTGCAGTCGTTAAGCCCCACCAATCCGCACCGGGCTCGCATTGTGGAGCCCCAGCAGCTGGGGACATCAATAGACTGGTGATGATGATGATGAGTAGGGATACCTGTATAGCGACCTTTATCTGATAGGAAGCATTCCTCCTACCCATGCGGTGTCTTAACTGAAGGTCAGACCCCTGAAGATATTTTATGATATTATCGTTTTATTTTCGCTTAAACCACATCTTTTTTTCTATAAAAACCCCTACATAGGTTTTTCCTCTTTTCTAGCTCTCCCCACTATTTCTTGATTTGAATTTGGTATTTCGCAAGTCTTTTTGCATTTGGTTTCTTACTTTTCTTATTTTATCGTTGTATCTCCATTAATCTTTTTGTTGTGTTTTTAATTTTCATTAAGCCGGCACTGGGTATAGGCCGTTACCTCACCTTGTACAAGAAAATGTAGTGGTGTCGATTGGTGAGTGAGTGTGGCCTCTGTGCCCGCAGCTCCCTCACCACCCGCGGCAGGTCCGCGGTGTTGGCGGCGAGGGCGCGTGCGCACACGTCCGCCGCTATCAGCGCCGCCGACCGCCCCGCGCCCGACGCGCACACAACCACGCACGGGCGGACGCCTACACACAAACGTTAAAGTTAAATTGCGACTCGCCACCTCTGCTGCATAAATCGTAACATACCTACTATTTTTGACAAAACGTTATCTCGTTCTCTTACTAAGATTTCTATAAGCACGGTTTGAGACGTGCTCAACTTCAAATTCTCAAGTCAGAAATCAAGTGTATGTATTCTACTAGATAAGATATACAGAACTAAAATTATGTCACAGCGCAGCAGTTTTGCTATACGAAATTTAAAAGGAGCAATTGAAATGTGCAATAAATCAGTAGAATTAATAAAAATAGTATTTAAGAACATTTTGGTTTCATTTCATTTTACTTATTTGGTTTTATTTCATTCGTACCTACTCAAGTTTTATCTATATTCAATTGTAATATTGGTAGTCTTATGATCATGATGACTACATGGCCTACTTGATTTAAATAAAGGCAATACGCTGCAGGTTATCTAATCAAAAATCTGGTAGTTTTAATTGTTAGATCTCTATATACATAACGAATATTTAACGAATTTCTGAAATAATAATTTGTAATATGGATACAAATAAACTTTTTGTCGTGCTTCATATTACAATATTTTGGTTTTATATTTATTATATTAGGATGACTTTGACACGAAGTTATCACGTATTCGTAATTACGAATCCACACATAAGAAATATAGTCTTCAATCACCTTCCACTTCGGATGCGGCCTTCATCCTGCCGAGAGTGCCGTTGGTGGCGTGCCCCCGTCGCATCATCTCCTCAGCTTTGGCTGGAGAGTAAACATTCACACCATTCCCGGAACCAGTTTCGTCACTCCTCAACTTAGACAAATTGTTGAAAGACGAGCGATTCTGATCACCGTATATCACTTCTACTCCTAAAATACCATAAAGCGAATATTAAAAACAAATAAGGATGTTGACTGGGTTCACAAAAAGAAATTCTATTTAGTGTTTAGTCAGATAATCGAAAATTTATTACTAGTATACTTATTTTTTTGTTTTGCTTCAATTCAACCCGGACTTATATATTAGGTATTTACCGATGAAATTGCCGTTTTTCATGAAATAAATGAAGCGTTTTCTTTTTCTATATTTTTTACTTGTATTAATCAAAGAAATCACCCATGCAATCAATGCACCTTTGCCAACGTATTGGTAGCTTATTGATGCCTTTCTTGAAGAAATCAGTTGGACGGGAGGCAACAAATTCTCCAAAGGCATTTTGTACTGCCTATCGGATATTGAATTGTTTTTCCGCCAAGATGTTATCCAAATTCTGGAAAAAGTAGAAGTCTGTAGGCTCAAGGTCTGGTAAGTACGGCGGACGACGGAGAACTTCCAACCCCAGCTCTTCTAGCTTGGGGACCGTCTGTTGTGCAGTATGAGGTGGCACGTTGAGGTGAATGATTTAGACCAAAGCTGGTTAGAGACGTGCGAGCTTCTCCATCATTGTGTTCAGTTCTTCACATCTACACATCTGCAGTAATTCTCGTCCCGTTTGTACGTCTGTTTGTAGTAAGAAGCTGTGATGAATTACACCCGCGTTAGACCACCAAAAAGTGACCATCTCTTTTCTACGGATATTTTTTCGTTTAGGGCATTGTTTCATTTAAGTCACGTCGCGACGCATACTTCGTGCTGGCGATCATTGAGTTCATGAGGTACCCATTTGTCAAGCTTTTTTTACCTTTTACCTTGCCAATTTGACGCAAATGGACCAATATTGTTTTGATTATCAACTTCCACAATCGCCTTTAATTTGTCATTGTCGACCAAAGTTTTCGAATGACCACGAGGTTAATTTTTCAGATCAAAATTTCCAGTGTAGTGTTCTCTCTTTGCTGCCACGGTTGTACTCATACTCCATAATTACTCGAATTTTTAAGTTATCCATGACGGCGAAAAATATACGAATGCATTGAAAACAAAACACTAACTATTTTAGAAAAAGAATTCCATTTTTTTAAATAAAATTAATTTGAAATTAGCCATTTCAACTGGCCAGTACGGCAGAACAGCCATTTCATAGGTAAATACCTATTAGATAATAGACAGTAAAATTGAAGAGTGCCCGCTTGAAGCTTGCGCCACAACTATCTAGAAAATGTACAAAAGTGTGACGTCATGCGACTTTTCAACTCAACGTATTTTCACGCAAAAATAAAAAAACTACGTGTTTATATTTTTACAATAATTTACCTTATGGACAAACCAACAAAAAATAGTATTTATCTCTTTTAAGGACATTATATTGATATAAATAAAAATAAAAATCTTTGCAGATTACGTACCGTCTTCATCATATTCTTTAGCTGTCTGCGAAATTTTCATGTAGCTCCTCATCTCGGACAAGAAGTCTATCACCGAATCGTAATCATCCGGCACGCCTTTTGCCGGCCAGAAGTACCACAGGTGGGTGACCTCCCTCCAAGTCCTAGTGGTCATGTTTATCAGCTGAATACTAGAAATTGCATACTTATCACGCTGTTCGCGCTTCTTTAGAATGATCTGGAAATCGCCGAATGTACGCTTGTTGTCTGAGATCTCTGAAGGTGGCAAGTACTCATAGCATTTCTCCTGTAATTTCAGATTTATGATTATCAAAAACATGATAAGTCAAAAAAAATTTTGGTGTTGAGTAAACAGTTAAAATAAATCTGAATGATTCTCAAAAAGTGGGAAGGCATTCGTTATCAAACGTTGCAATAAATATTTGGTTATTATATTTGATTAATTTTGAATACACAATGATATATTGGAAAATATTCTTAATGAAAAAATCTTAAAAAATCCTCTTTGTCTCTGGTACTCTGGATTTTTAAGTATTTTTGTTTAAAAATATTTGGTTCTTTAATATTATGTGAGAATGGACAGAGACTTACCACGCCATTTTCCATGTATTCTGTTAGCATGACAATTAACCTAGAGTTTTGCTCCCAGATCATGCGCCAAAAATCCATTACTGTATTTGCTAGTGGCGCTTGACAGGCTATGTAATAGTTACGAATATTACCGGGCCCCTGAAACGTATTAAACAATAATAAAGTTCATACAAACAATTTGTAGGCTACAGATATCGGTTAGGATTGCTTTGTTTATACGAAATCCGATTGACACCAGAAAGCAAACTCGTAGTAACCCACAAAACCAAAATTGTTATTCTAAGCACAATCAATTTTTATTTTATCAAAAATAAATTCTTATGAACATCCAGGTAACAATAATGGTAAGTACTCGAAAGTTAGAATTTATTCGGAAAAAAAAATCGTTTTGCCCCGAGAACAATTTCGATTTCGCAGGTTACTACGTGTTTACTTTCCAGCTTCATATTCCTCTTCGATCATCGTCAAATTTTGTAAAATATTGCACACGCGAACCTTACGTCATGTACGTATAGTTCATTATCTTTAAACAGATACATATATTCATACAAAAAATGGCGCCTCGTCAATCTTAATTTGTCTACCTACTTATGTTACCTTGGTAAATTACTTCCAAGACTTCAATAGCCCGATTCTGATAATGTTTACGTAATAATTACATCTTAATAGAGTCAAATTTTACCATTGTACCATCTACCTCAGAGGTTCCCAAACAAGATTTTCTCGTGGACCATTTTCAAAACTGTACTGGTTTCGGTGGACCCCCTGCTGCTACAATTTTACCATATTCCCAAAATTCGTCAAAAATGTGAAGATCTAACGATGGAAATTGGAAGCTCTATTTTTATTTCAATCCCTCGTGGACCCTTGGAGGTCCACCTGGACCACTTAGGGAATCACTGATCTACCTGAACTGCAATTAACAGTATTGTCTCCCTCACAAATCAATGGTGACAGTTATGCTATTCTGTTAAAACACAGTCTCGAACTCGACGTAGAGCTTACGATATACAATTTTAATAAAAAACCTTTAAACCTCTTTTTGTACTTCAGGATTAGTTAATTAAATGATTTAATTCAGTCTAGATGAATAGTTTTATAATAATACTGATCAATGTTTTGATATCCGATATTGATATATGGTTTTGTAAATCATTTGTAAAGTAACAGCTGCAAATCATATTTATATACAGCTATAAATATATGCTTATTCTCTTACTGGTAAAACAGAAAGCCTTGAGAAACTTACAGTTACATAATTGGCGTTGATGTACTCAGTCGTGGGATCGTTCCCAATCCTCTTCAGAGGTACCCTGGTTTCCGGTAGCGGTAGCACGTTTGAGTACCGATTCTTGTCCTCGCAGCCAGGCGGTACCTCGTCTGGGCGTACGGTCACAGATGGTATCTCGGCGAATTCGGCACTCATCGATTCTATGTCCATTGCGAAATTCGCTAATGCAGCATATTGCATGGGGTGCGATGTTACCTATGGTTTTTTTTTGTAATTAATAAAAAGGAAACTACCTACATGTATATAATTTTTATAAATAAAAGCAGCGCTTCTGTGCTAAAACCTACGCCTTGCCTACTTAAAGCTTAACGCTATGCTTGATCGTTTATATAATCATTTTAGAATATATCAAAATCTATTTTGATATAGTTATGACGAAATATACCAGCCGTAAAATCGGTCCAACAAACTTATTCACTGTCATCTTTGCGATTTTTTTCTATCAAGCCAATTATTTTAATTTGTGTTTCTAGTTTTTGCAAATAATCGACCCTATACTTAATTACCATAAAAAGATTTTTATTTCACTATAAAATTGGTTTAAAAAGTGGAAATGCTCATTCAAGCGCTCAGTTTTACCTCGTCGTCGTAAGCGGGGTTCCCGTAGCTGCGTTTGCTGGCGCGCAACCTATGGTTCCCTTTTCTGTGCCCGACACTGACGCTGTCCAGGCTGTAAGCATCCAGAGACACTGGGGTACACCGCTGCGCGTAAACACCCCGTCTACCACGACGGCGGACCACCAACTAGAATAATAACAATAATTTTAAATTTTCACATAACCAAAATACTGAAGAACAAGAACTATATAAAATTACTTCTGATAAAAATTATTCACACTGCTAAACAGTGAATAGTAGACTACTGACCAAAAAGTGTATTTTACCGACAAACCCAGCGTAAATAAAATCACTAACTGTCAATTGGTTTTGAACAAAAAACTATCAATGTGCTAATAGAATGTAGTAAAATTATATCATTATACCTTATGATCTTTATTAGGTTTAAGGAAAATTAATTAATGTCAGATTCAGTGTGAAGTTGAGAGTTGGATTTGACAACTTCAAAGGGCAGCAAAAAAAATCCTCCATCGTCTTATACGTTTTGTTCCCTTTTTTGAAATGATTAAATAAAGAAAATTATCTTTCAAACTTTTGAAATTATTTATGAATAAACATCTGAAGATTATGTAAAGACAAATTAATTACCACTGTCTACTACTGTCTACATTTGTGTAGGTACACTTCACACCACGGCAAAGCTCAAGATAGTTTTTTTGATCTTTGATTACGAATCCGAATATTTTATTTTGTAAAAACTCCTTCATTTCTGAAATGGATAGTTGAACTTTTTAAATCACTGTACCATCGAGCGATGCAAAAGCGATAAGTTAAATATTACAATCTAGACCCTATAATAGACATTATAGTATTATTTGTTCATTCGCAACGGAAACTGTGAAATTCCTACGTAGCAGCGTTTTGAATCTGGAACAACTTATCTATAGGGTTGCAACATTAGCTTTTATCAACAATTACTTAAATGTTAACTTACTATTAGCCCATGCAGCCTGGTCAAATGACACTTTCGACAAATTAGCCGACTTCATTTTATAATAACTACAATGAGTCATTCAAAGATAATTTCATGAAACTTGATTTTTGGAAATAAGCCACTCATTTAAGTTACAAACGAAAGATGCATTACTAAATTTTTCAAGTTTGTTGAGATACGATTACCTAATGTAATTTTTGTGAGTCCCCTCGACAATACCTTTTTCGAATGGTCTACCTTTAAACGATATTGTAAGAATTATCCTTTAACTACGAATTGTCCTACAATCATGAGATACCATCATAGATGCGAAAACAAATCAGGAGTCTGTGAAATGCGTAAGGAGGACCCAAGCTTTACATAAGACAATCCTAAAATTCTGGCGACTGATTCATTCCAAGGATGATAAGCGAGGCTATTGAAAAAAATAAATAATCTAAATTTTAATAGAGATGAAGGTTGGAATATACCAGTAATTAGTCAAATAAAATCACCATCCAGATCACACATTGCAAAATCAAAAAATACAATTAGTTCACTCTATAAATATTAAATCACTTTTTCAAATTCACTTTTTTTGTCAGAGTTTGTTTTCGTTTCTTATCAGACAAGACTCACAAATTGGAACTGGTGATAGTTTATGGTAAGAGTAGTTTATAATTGGAGTAAATAAATAAGTCAAATGTATTTTTAGAATAATGTAATTTAATATTATGTAATAAAATGTAAACGTATGTAAATGTTATTGTGAATAGTATAGTTTTGAAGAAAGCTATACTCTTAATTAAAAAGACAATCCATCATCAGTCCATTGCATTGATAAGTATCAGAGTAAAGTACTTAAATGGTTTTAGAGAATATTTTAAAACGTGATTTGTCTATATAAAACTTGAAAGATTTCCTTTATCATGAGATCTCGACTTGGTGCAGATGGACCAATCTGGAAAGCATAACCCCTTTCAAATCCAAATATTCTTTGGAAATTAAAAAAAAAAAGGTTCAAGTATTTGGAAGTAATCAGAGACAATAATTAATATATTTCTTATATACTTCTCCGATTTTTTATCACATTCCTCCATCTATTGAATCAATCAAAAAGTACTTCAGCTATTCTGAATCTATGAGCAATATACTACAGTATTAACGAATATATACACTGTGATATGATTATGGAGTCGAGAATAGATAACAGCTAACTGAAGTAACAGTGAATACATGTTAAATATTGTAATATGATAATTTGGCCAGTGGGTTCTATTAATATTTATTGATTGGCAACCCTAACTATATAATATCGGGGGTACGTCGTCAACAGCTTATTCGTCGGCTCATCAGTTTAGCGACAATCGTCTCTCTGTTTAAACAAACAGGCGACATAACGAACTTTTATTAGTGCCTATGACGCAATTGTTGGGCTTATCACTGAACTCCGAATGTACCTAAAAAAAATGGCGGTATTGGTAAAACTATTATTTGACGGATTTCATTTGACCCACAAAGGAGACGATTAGGTACCTTAAAATGTAAGTGGTATGTAATTTTCATCGCCAGCCCATTAAAGTCCCACTGGAATAGGGAATCTCGAAATAGTAACGAATAGGGAGAATGAGCTGGATTATGGGCCTAGTGCGTATTGATAAGTGTTACCAACTGCAGATGCAGCCGAGACAAACGACTACATATAAAATTTTGGTCACCCATCCAAGATTTTTTTCTTTTTTGAAGTCTGTGTAAAACTACATTGTACGTCTAAGGGTAAGTAAAAGTGATACATCACATTCAAATACCTACATTGGTCAGATTCCAAAATGTGTAGCTAAAGCCATATAATTGAATATCTGAAACAACTAAGGTACCATAATACCCAAACTATATTTAATAAGAAGTATTTTGTCTACATTGACCCGACCGGGAATCGAAACAGGGATCCCAGAAATGGCGACAACTTGAAACCGGCGTGCAAACCACTCGACTAAGGAGGTCGACGCCGTAAAATTTATTTACCATGAAATAGTTATACATCTATCTTTTCCAAACATACCAGCTCCAATATAACAAATCAAAATGAAGTATTTGCTACAAAAAATTGGCACTTGAAAAAACTTGTGAATAATTTATTGATTTGGATGTTGGTAAAGTGTTATATTGCCACTTATGTGTTGCTTGTGTGATGGGAAAAATGCAAGTATGAGACTATACGAAACACTTGGACCTTAGTTTATGAGGTGCCCTATTCAATGTTTGTTTCCAATGTCAGACGACAGTATTATAAAACTAAAACTTCCTGTTTTTAGTCTATGGCATAATTCTAAATGCACAAGTCTTGACACTTATTACCCCCATAATTACACTATATCATCTTTTAACATCTTCACTGGCCTATTAATATCCCCACTACTGGGCCACAACCCTTCCCTATGAGTGGAATGGAATCAAATGGAATATGGAGAATGGACCCCGCCTGCCCACTGCTTACCGTGCCTCAAGCACGCAGAGACTCGAGATTATAAATTGTCGGTCCCTCATCCTATAACAGGCTTTTATAAAGGATGCTCAACATCTACACCTTAGACCGGGCCAACTGCTCTTCGTACTATATTATCTTCAACTAAAGCACAAACAAATAATGTTTGGAAGACACTAGCCCACAAATTTTAAGGCTGTTTACATCTATTATTGTAATAAATCAATATGCTAATTAGACCACGTATTCTGTCAAATACAACTTTTAGATTTGTAATTAGAAAATTAATAGAATTCATTTATATTCCGTGTAATAATGAATTTAGTATATTGCTTTTGGGTTCGGTTCATAATATCGATGAGCGAGTGATTGTCTCACTATCTAAATTGTATAATCAATAAAAGTCAGTCAATTAAGTATGTATAAATCGTGAAATTTAGTTTAATGTTGTGATTGTTGCCTATGTCTATGAATTAATTTTCAAAAACATTTTGTTATACTATTTTTTTTTAATGTATTAAGTTATCATATGATTTTGGCGCCGCCTATACAGACGCCCCCCCTCCCCCCCCACATATCCAGGCCAGCACCTTCCAATTAAATGAAATTAAAGGATATATCTATTTACCAATATTTTATTGACTGTAGATTATGCCGTCCGATATAAATATCATACGTGTGGTAGTGGAAACGCTTTCTAAAGGTCCGTCATCGGGCGAGCTTTGTTTATAATTTCCGTTGTAAAAACATCCTATACCAATAGTGGCGACACCTACAGCTTAGCAGAAATGTGCAGGAGTCTAGCTGATGGAAAGTACGAATCTAACCGATAGCGAAAATATGAATATGATGTTTATAAAGCTTTTAAACTTGCGTTTTTATTCATAGGATTTGCAACGAGTCATGTAATATCTTTTTAAATTGTAAGTAAAAATCAGAATTGTGCAAGCTTAAAACTAAGAACCGCGAAATAAGCTGCCCTCGCTGAGTTTCTATTTCTACTCAGTTAACGGTCTAAATTAATGAATAAAAATTTTCAACACTTCCCAACAAAACAAACACTACTATTTATAACATTGTAAGTCACTTATTTATAATGAATGCTTCATTTATAAAATACTGCTTATTTTGTAA